AAACTGTCAAGTTGACTAAAGTGAGGTATATTCCAGAATTAAAAAGAAACCTAATTTCATTAGGTATTTTAGATGAATCTGGTTGTAGTTATAAAGCTGAAAATGGTTGCCTTTATGTCTATAAAAACAACAGTGTTTTGCTTAAAGGGATAAAAAGGAACGGTTTGTATATTCTGTGTGGATCCTACTATTCTGATTGTTTTAATTCTGCTTTGTTTTCTACTAACTTGAATGCTACTAAAAAATGGCATTTAAGACTAGGCCACATGAGCCAAAAGGGCCTGGACATCCTCCATAAGCAGGGCCTATTTAGTAAGGACCCTATTGAACCCCTTGAATTTTGTGAGACCTGTATTATGGGTAAGCAGCACAGGCTGAGTTTCCAAAAGGGAACTCACCTGGCTGCCAACTACTTAGAATATTTGCATGGGGACTTGTGGGGACCTGAAAGGGTCAAATCACATGGGGGTAGTAGTTATTTTTTGTCCATAGTAGATTATTGCAGTAGGAAGGCGTGGGTTTTCTTACTTAGGACCAAGGATGAAGCTTTGGGTAGGTTTAAGAGTTGGAAGGTTCTAATAGAGAACCAAACTGACAAAAGGGTTAAAACCTTTAGAACAGACAATGGCTTAGAGTTCTGTAACCTGGAATTTGACTTCTATTGCACTGAACATGGCATTCAAAGACATAGAACTGTTAGGAGAACCCCTCAGCAGAATGGGGTTGCTTAAAGAATGAATAGGACCCTCTTAGAGAAGGTGAGATGCCTTCTCTTCACATCCAGCCTTCCTAAGTCCTTTTGGGGAGAAGCCCTTAACACAGCTGCCTACCTTATTAACAGAAGTCCTTCTAATGCCATCAGCTTTATGTGTCCTGAGGAAAAATGGAGTAAAAGGAAACCTAGTCTAGGACACTTGAATACCTTTGGATGTGCTGCATACGTCCATAACAATGAAGGGAAGTTAGAGCCTAGGTCACTTAGGTGTGTCTTCTTAGGTTATCAAGAGGGAACCAAAGGGTATAGGCTTTGGGAGAGAAGTGCCCCGGGAGTTAGAATAATAATTAGTAGGGATGTAATTTTCAATGAAAATATATTTCCTTACAAAGTTGCTAACCCTGATGCAGGATCAACAAGCAACAAACCTATGAACCAAGATTAGCCTGAGAGAGTCCAAATTGAGGTGGAGCCTGCTGAAATTCAATCTGATTTGGAACATCAGGAAGTTGAAGTTAATGAACCAGATTTGGACCCTGACTTGGAAGAGGAAAATACAATAGAACCTGCTGAACCCCATCCTGATCCCTTAGCCCAGTACTAGCTAGCCAATGATAGAAGTAGGAGAGAAATTAGGCCACCAACAAGATACTCCTACGCTGATTTGATTTACACAACCCTGGTGGCAGGGGCTCAAGTTTAGAGGACAGAACCAGACTACTATGAAGAAGCAGTCAGATCCAAAGACAAAGAAAAATGGCAAGCTGTAATGGAGGAAGAAATGTTGTCCCTAAAGGTAAATGTAACCTGGTCTTTGGTTCCAAATCTCAAAGACTAGAAATTGATTGAATGTAGGTGGTTGTTCAAGCTTAAAGAAGGTATGAACCCTTCTGACACCCTTAGGTATAAGGCTAGGTTGGTAGCCAAAGGCTACATATAGTGGGAGGGAATAGACTTTAATGAGATATTCTCCCCCATTGTAAAATATAAGACAGTTAGGATTATGTTAGCCATAGTTGCTCATAAGGACTTGGAATTAGAACAACTGGGAGTTAAGACCGCTTTTTTGCACTGAAACTTAGAAGAAAGGATTTACATGAGACAGCCCATAGGTTTTGTAGATAGAAACCTGCCCAACCCTGTATGCTTACTTCACAAATCCTTATATGGACTGAAACAGTCCCCTAGGCAGTGGTATAAATGTTTTGATGCTTTTATTCTTAGCATTGGCTTCAATAGAAGCAAATATGATAGCTGTTTCTACTATGCTTTATATGATGACATGCCTTTATATTTACTACTGTATGTTGATGACATGCTTTTAATTTGCAAGTCTAAGCCTAGGATAGAAGAGTTAAAGAAAAAATTGAACTCTGAATTTGATATGAAGGATTTAGGAAGTGCTAAACGGATTCTAGGCATGGTAATAGATAGAAACCGAAAGGACTATGAATTAAAAGTCCATCAGAAGGCTTACCTGGAAAAATTAGTGTCTAGGTTGGGCATGACAGGTTCTAAAACTGTGAATGTACCCTTGGCTGGTCACTTTATGTTAAGTAAATCACAATGCCCCAAATCTGATGCAGATTTAATAAAAATGGAAAATATCCCATATGCAAACGTAGTTGGGTCAGTAATGTATGCCATGATTAGCACCAGACCAGACCTTTCCTTTGCAATTTCCCTCTTAAGCAGATTTATGTCAAACCCTGGTATTGAACATTAGCTAGCTCTTAAATGGCTTCTTGGATACATTAATAGTTATGTGCATGTTGGCTTGAAATATGGAAAAAGATATGACTCACTTGATCTTGTAGGATTCGTAGATTCTGACTTTACAGGTGACAAGGATTCAAGGAAATCAACCACTACATACGTGTTCACCTTGGGAGGAAATTGTGTGAGCTGGAAGTCTCAAGTCCAGCCAATTGTTGCCCTATCCACAACTGAGGCAGAGTATGTAGCTGTAACGGATGTTTTCAAAGAAGCTCTATGGCTCCAAGGGTTACTGTCAGAGGTTAAGCTACTGGAGGGTGCTGTCACTGTCTATTCAGACAGCCAAAGTGCCATACACCTGAGCAAAAACCCCGTATATCATGAGAGAACCAAACATGTTGATGTTAAATACCATTTTGTAAGGGAGCTGGTTGATAAAGGAGTAGTCATTCTGAAAAAAGTGCCAACCGAGGATAACCCTTTAGATATGGGAACAAAGGTGGTCTCTCCAACTAAGTTCAAGCACTGCTTGAACCTGTTGCATATTTAGTAAGAGGCAGCAACCGGGCTATGATGAGTAACTTGTGGGTGAACTGCACTAGTAAAGTATCTGATCCTTGTGAGGTGTTGAAGCTTTAAGGTGGAGATTGTTGAGTGAAGCTTCAAACGGTGTCGTATTGGAGTAACCGATACGCTGTCGTTTTGAAGCTTTGTTAAGTGACAGATCTTAGCCTTTGGTTCTAGTCTAATCCAACGGTGCAAATGAAGCTTTGAGGTCAACCTATTTAAAGTTAAAGTTACACAGAAATAGCAACAGTGGAATACACTCTCTCTCTCGCGTTTTTCATCTCTACTAGGGTTTGTTCTTAGTGTGGTTAATCTAGTTTTTTGTAATCTGTTGCAATTTATCAGTTAAATTGTAGGTAGAAGAAGTATTAGGTTCATCTAGTTGAGACGCTTGTATTAGTTGTCTTTGTGAGGAGATTACGGGTGATTTGAAGGTTGGGTGATTGTGAGATCTGAGTGGCTGTTCTTGATTGAGTTGTAATCTGTAATTGGATTGATCCTTATAGTGTAGTGAGCCTCCATTTTACTTAAAGCTCAACGTGGATATAATTTATTACTTTGGAATAAATGAACCACGGTAAAAATTGGCCGTGTTCTTGTTTTTTCGATTCTTTATTGTTTGTGTTGTTTCTTAAGTGTTTGCTGGTTGTGTTTGATAGAGGAACAGATTAGGTTGAGTTTGATTGATTCTTAACAATGTGTTTACTGCATTTGCCTTTTGCCATGGTTAAATAAAAATTATTTTTACTTTCACTTACACCTATACATATCCATGTGCTTGTCTATTCCATTTTAACTTTTTAGGTAGTTGATGTTGAACCCAACATCACTTTGTCGGGACTTGAAACATTTTTCAATTTCATGCGATAAGTATATCTTGTGTGTTGTGAACCGTTCAAGCTTCACTCTCAAATTACAGTAGCAGAATGTTTCAGAGATTATGTTTTGATATAAAAAAATTTATAAAAAAAAATGTGTGGATGGCTTTAGAAGATAAGCTTTGTAAAAAAGATGTTTGCAACTTTTAAAGTTTGAGATTGAATATTGAAATAGGTGACGTGCCAAATCTTGTATAATGGGATTTGGTCGTCTGCAGGTAAAGTGGTTCAAAGTTGTTAAAAATAAACTATAATTATGATAATAATCACTTTGATATATTAAATAAAATGATATCAACTTTGTTTTGATCATTAGCCCGCATATTACGGAAGGACTGTCTGCTGGTTCTGTCCGACTTCATGGCTCAACTCTCCATAAAAGAGAGTTCTAGAAATAATTAGAGAAGCTAATTGTGGCCATCATTTTTCACCCAAAATCAAGTGGCTGTACAGATAAGCAACCTTTACATTCTTGGAAGAGTCATATACGGGATGGATTAATGTTATACATCAACATGATTTAAGCTCTCATTTATAGAATACATACTTTCTTCGTATTTAATATAAACAACTTTCTTTATTTAAACGAATTCAATTTTGAGGATTTCATGATATATATATATGGGGTGAAGAATTCGAAGGCAAGAAGGGATTAAAAATGCCTCATTTATTAGATATCCGTGGATTTTGAGTCAATTTGTATATGCTTGATTCCGATTCATTTCCAACTACATTAAAAAATAATTCTCTCTGTATGTTTGTTTGTTTTTCTTGTGAGTGGGTCGTGCCCGAAAATTTAAGTGGCCTTGCTTCACATTCAATACAATAGATGAAATAATCATATGTTATATCAATATTAATGCCGTGTGTCTTAAAGGTAAATCAAATGATGCCTAATAGCATTATAGAAGCAAAATCCCTTTATGCTGCAAAACACGCTTACAATTTGGCACAACACACTTAAGATTTGATCTAAAGTATCCTAATTATACAGTTTTACTTTTACTTGCTTGCCGAAAACAAGCTAAACCAAACCCAAACATAATACAAACAAAAGTTGGACACAAACTCTAAGAGATATCACATCCAGATACCATATCATGTTATACACAAAATTTAGTGACCTCCAAGAAGTAGCCAAATGAAAGCTAATGCTTCTCATCAGTTGCTCGGTGTCTTGCGGCGAAACGATTTATCAAAGCAAGAGCATTACTAGTGACCTGAGAAACATTGGTGACCCTCCTCCTAATTGCAGCCTTCACGTTTCCATCCATACGACGACCACCAAACCCATCTAAGCAAGTGGTCTCATCGGTTAATGCAGCACTAACCCAAGTCTGCACATTACTCATGTGCCACATGAAGTCCTCACCAACGGTTGCACCCACATGCCCAAGCTCCCTTACTGATTGGCTAAGTCGGTCCACACTATCACTCATGTATTCTATGCAGTCTTTCACTGCCATATACTCTCTACGCTTGATTCCCTTTACTTTAGTGAGCTTGCCCACAAACGCAACGGCTGATCTTGCCCTCCCTAAACTCACTGACAAAGAAGTAAGAGCTAGTTGATGCTCACTTTGTCTTATGGCACTACCATAACCTGACAGACATTGATAGCATAACGTGGGGTAGCGAGTTGCCTTACAAGATGCCCTGATGAAGTCGATGGGACTTGAATGTCTGGTAATGGCAGATTCTGCCATTTTAGCCAAGTAAAGATGAGAGAACATGAGAACTATTGAGAAAAGGCCAAGTAGGTTTGCCATGTCTTTGTATAATGGGGGGGCAGCTATACTTGATACTAATAAAATGAACGTGAGTAATATGGGAATTGTTTATATAGAATTTAAAAGGTTGTTGCCTATCTTCTTCAAGGATTAAAGAAAATGTTGTCACGTGTCATTTTTCCGTCATCTGCTTTTTTGTCTCTTTAGAGCTTTTCGTCTTCTATCTTTATTTATTCCTTCCCATAAATACTACGCTTTCAATTTCTTTTGGGTAAACTTGGTAATTGACTCTCTCGCGACTTAAATATAAGATCACTGAGTGTAATCAACCCCAATGAATAAAAAGTTTATCATCCAACCACAAAGAGAGAGATTAAGACTTTCAAATTTTCTTGCCGTTTTCACTATTTCACCAACAATGTGCACCTAAAATATTTACTTTGGCTAAAATTGAATTGGGTTGGTTACAGAAGCACAATAAAAGCAAGTTAGGTAAAAGATTAAACTATTGAGTTGTATGTAATAATAGATGCCGTAGCTTAAGTGATCTATTAATAAACTAATATTTGTATTATGAAAGCAAGAAATTGTCATTAAATAAGGGATTTGGAGGTTGAGTTGCTTGAGCATTACATATACAAACACATGCAGGCACAAATCCACTATTCTTAAACAAAAATAAGCACATATGGTGGTAAAATAATCAAAACCCGAAGGGCACATATGGTGTTATATATGCTTTTCAAATCTCAAAATATTGCCACTCTTCCATAGGCAATATCAATACTAATATTTAACTTATCAAGTTGCACGACTTTAAATAAATATGTTAGCAATTCCAAGTACTCACCGAATCACTAGACTTTAATTCAATTTGGACAGTAACCGATTAAAAAATGACTTGACAGCCTCACACTAGTATTTTCTTTTTACCTTTTCATGCGCGAATTGCGATTCTGCCTCTTCACTTATAAAGTATTCAGTTCTTAACATCATGTTTTTAAGTGCTTTCTTTCTACTTCCAGGATATAAATAAATGATAGTGCTCCAACAGGGGTAGCCGATCTTGTTTTTAATGTAGTGGATGTTAGAAACAAGTTAATAAAATATGCAGCCGGAAATTTTCTTCTTTAAAAATTAACAAAGAAAAAAATAAATCCAAACTCATGATGCTAGATACAATAAATTTACTTTAATCTGAAAGTTTGTTTAATCTAGTTCATTAAATTATTGCGGAATGGGTTTGATTGCGTTTGTTATTGCTCGGAGAAATGGTCAATAGACATCAAAACAATATCAAGCATATAAGACATAATGTATAGCACACTAGAGATTTTTTACATGGTTTGGCTAAAAACCATTTCAGCCTACGTCCATGAGACCAACCAACTTAATCAAATCCACTAGCATCAAGCAAAAATGTCAATACAAGATAGATATCAAATACATCAAGGAGTAAACAACTTCCTGCTTACAAATTTAACTTCACCCTCTTTATTGAAAATCTCCCAGCTACGAACTAATTGGATCAAAGTACCAACTTGTATGACTCAAGCTCCACAAGAACTTTGACAGTTAAAAGACACTTCTTAGCTCACTAGCTTGAACTTCCTTCAAAATTCACCAATGGAACCACGTTCCAACAAATACTCAACAACAAGATAAGGTTATCAAAACATTAAGCAATAAACAATATAACGAAACTGACCAAATGAACAAACTCTATAAGAAATTTCAGAGAACAAATATTAAAATATTCAGGTTCAAAAAACGCAAGGAAGAAGATGATGAACATATATAATCCTTGCTTAACCAATCATCAATACACATAGCAGACAGACTCTACCAACCTTTGTTGGACCAGTGACACATTCTAACAACATTGTTGGACCACTTTAGGACAAACAAACACCTGTAAAGTGACCTTTCACGCAAGTTTCATGAACAAAAATATCTTAACAGGCAAGATAATAACACCACCTGTATTGTGAGAACAGATCAAGAAAATGTTTACACAATTGAAGAAAATGTGCACACATATTTGCAATATGTCAAGACCAAGGACATGTGCACACAAATTTGCAATATGTTAGGACATGTGTAAACTACATACATGATTGTGCTTTAAACTACTTAGTGTGCAAACATCAGAATAAATGTGCACACATATCTTCATAAGTTGACGAAAAACCTTACAATCTCCCCTTTTGTCACAATCTCAACATATTATCAACATAAACATCTCTTAAACAATGTCAACATTACAAGCACAAATGGGCTCAGGTCTCTCTCTGGGGTCTAATTCCTTTGTTAAGGGGGTCGTTTTAGTTCTAATTCTCTAGGGCCAGGACGTCCCCATTCTTGAGATTCCTTGGTTGTTCCCTTGTAGCGACGACTTATGTGGTTGGTCGATTGAAGAGCTCATTGAGCAATCTGTTGCGCAAATTGTTGATTAGATCCAATGTAATCTCCATCCTTGGCTCTGATGTGATGGGATCCACGGTTCTATGGTCGTTGCATGATGGTAAGCCCATAATTAGTATGATCACCACGCCTAGTTGGTTATTGGTTAGAGGAACATTGTCAATATTGCCTAAAGCTGCTGTAGCGTTTAGGGTGTCCTTGCTCTCAGGTTGCCATCGCACAAAGCATGTGGTCACCATGTTGTTATTACGGCTTTTTGTATACAGTCCCCACAGATGATGGCGTCAGCTGTTGATGCCAAATTTCTCACTAAATACGAGATTATTATCTTGGCTTTCGGAACATAGTGCCTTCACGCTTTTGCCCGTGGATTTGTTGACTCTTTTGTCTCTGACTTGATCGTTTGTTGCAAGGTTGGTCTCTATCCTACAAGAAAGATACAAAGGCACTTGCGGGATTCCAGCCCCATATATTAATATATCTATTCCACGCCCAAATCCACGTTATATTAAAATTTAAAACTGTCTTTACTCTTTCTCCACTCCACGGCTCCAACTTCTTTCATTGATTTTATCCTCAAATTTCTTTAGTCTCTCATTTTCTCATTCTCTTTTTCATGCTATTGACTCTTAAAACTTTTGAAGATAAAAATTGTTGAAGCTTTCACTACTTAAGGTGTCACAATTAGTTTTGTTATATGTTTTATTAGTTTTAGGTATATGTATTATTCATTTCAATTTAGTTTATTTTAGGGTTGAATCATGTTTGTTTATTTTGGGGTTCAATTTAGTCCAAATGATGGTTGTTTTTTATCTTTCCATTTTTCTTTAGACTTAATTGTTGTTGTGGGAATTGAGATTCTATCAAAAAGCCTCCCGTGCATTATGCTTAATGAGTTACAGAGTTAACATAGAAAATTAGCCTCAAGTGAGAACCCAACTTGAATGCTTGTCTCTAATGCAATTTGTGTCAGGGGAATATGAAACTAAACCTGGATTTCATCCTTCTAATCTTAAATTAATGAACAAAAACTTAGATGGGGCATGCACTTTTATAAACAAATATTGATTGGGCTATAAGTTTAGGGCCATTGAGAGACATATCAGCCCTTGATTTTGCGTTGCTTTTTTCATATCTTGATGCCAATTAATCTAAAGTCAGCATAGCGCTCTTCCGGAAAAGTTCTGTTGAAAGGCAAAAGAGTTGTGTAATGTAATAATACAAACATCTCAGCTTCTTAAAAAACTAGCTTTCTGGTTTTTTATTATGTAAAATTGATCAAGAAGCTTGGGGGTAAATATTGAGAGATAACTATTTTCCATGCACTATTTGGGTAATAATCCGAACCCAACAGAGTAAATTTTCATTTTCCATGTTTGTGGATTATTTTCCAGTTAAGGAGTTTAAGTAATTTTATTTAACGAATTACAAATTTTTTTTCTTAATTCATGTTTAAAAAGTCTCAACCACCATATATATATATATATATATATTGTAAAAAGTTGGGGATATATCAAATTTTTATACTTCTATTTGAATTCAATTTACAAAAATTACAATATATTACATATTGTTATAAAATATACTAAAAGAAGAGAGAAGATAATTGAGAGGAAATAGAACCAATGCTTTTCTATTCCAAAGTTGAGTGTACATCATCTTTCACAATACATCTATTTATAGACTTAAGATTATGAAACATTATAAATGAAATCAAAAGCTAATAAAATGCTTTGAAGTTGTAGAACTTGAAAGGTTCAAGAGTTAGAGAAGATGAAAGATTGGGAAGTTATAGAATTGCAAGGGACATCCACATTTATTCATAACACTTCCCCTTGGATGTCCATTACACAAAGAATATGTCTCGTTAAAACCTTACTAGGAAAAAACCCAATAAACTTAGCGAAGGAAAAAGAGTACATTATTCTTGTATATTATACGCATTTAGAAACTGTCTCATTAAAAACCTTACTAGCAAAACCCAATGGGATAAATCCTTGGTCAAGGGAAAAAGAGTACAACGCGTATTTACTCCCCCTTATGATGATATCACTTAAGATTTTTGTACCGACTGTAATATTCTTTCTAGCTAGTAGTTATTTGGAAAAATATGAGAAAAACTCACTAAACATATTATAGAAATTATATATATAAGTATGAAATAGAGGGCCCATAACTAATTTTTTCTTTATAAACAAATCTCTACATCAAGTAATAAGTCACAAAAAGAGACTCAAAAATACAATCTGACAATGTTGCCTTTCTCCTCTACTACTTGACGTCCCATCCGACTGCATCACATCTACCACCTGCAAAAACAGTGAAATCAACAGGGTGAGTACTAATTGCTCAGTAAGTAAACCCACAATACTTCTATTCTTTCTCCGTTACTTAGATCCTGGATTTTCTTTCCTTACACCAAACTTCTTGATTCTTCTTTGCTCTTTCTAAGATTCTAGTTTCTCACTTACCGATATGTAAGCACAAATAGGGAAACTAACTCAGGATAGTAGAAATGGCATGATGCATATGCACAAATGCATAAACTTTTTCTATGCAATGCATTCTCTTTTCTGTTTTTCTGTTTTCTTTTTCTGCGTTTCTTTCTTTTTCTGT